TCGGGAAGAGGGACATCAGGTTGATTGAAAAGAGACCGCCTCTCCAGAGCTCGATCCCGATACTTCGGTTGCTCAGAGGCTTTGGCCTGCTGGCGGACGAGCAATTTTTGCCGCGCGACATCTCGCAGGGTAGCATCTGTGCAATTCTTCTGTTGAAGAAGGAAAAGAAGAACGCCAGCATTGAAAAGGGCAAACGTAAGTCACATTCACGACCAGAAACTGCGAATAAGAGAGCGAGCCTTGTGGAGATCAGATTCCTTGTTGTGCCTTTTGAGTTGATCGAGAGATTTGAATTGACGGGAACAAAGTAAACAGGCGAATGCGACCACGTCCGAGAACTCAAACTCGCTTTCTGCTGGCGGAGTGCTGGCAAGCACATTTGCAGTGGTAGTTACAGCTCGGCTTTCAGTAGGAGCTACCTGTTGTAGCGGGGAATGTTCCAGTTCAATCATTGCAACAAGACACAAGCCAAATAAGGATATGTCACCGGTGTAGAGGTACTTGGTTTTGTTGAGGAAGAGCCCGAGAGTTCCTCTTGTACTTGATTCCACTTGTTGATGTTGTTGATGGTCTGCGGGTAACGCAGCTCATAAGCGAACCAGAATAACAGATTTGACGCGCATGGATGCTTAAGCTGGTCCTACAAATTACCTTCTTACTTGCAATCAAGGGTGCAACACCTTTCAAGTTATTCGCTACAACCTGTCAGAAAATGGGGAAGTCAAGGTAAAGACGATTACCTTTATTGCCAGCCATTGAGCCGTCTTCTTTTTCGTCGCCCTCCTCAAGAACATCATCAACGGAGAAACCCAAGGACAAAGGCTTTACGGCTGGACCCAAACCTAGAGCAGAATGTAAATGCACATATGTATCTTGAATATTAAAGCCACATACTTGTACCAGTCTTTGAAGGACCCTTGTTGAAGCTAAGGGTGACAGGCTTATCGGATACATGCAATGCAGAAGGTGCAGGAGGTGCAATAGGACGCGAAACAGGGTCTACATTAGGACGTTTAGTTATTATTCTCATCAGTTGGAGCAGCGTTTACCCTTCTTTTTCTTCTCTTTCTTATCTTTGCTACTGGACACCGTAGCTGTTTGAGGCATGGCAACCTGAAATTCAAGGACTGCAACCATAGAAGACTCATCCCAGTAACGAACATAGGTGCCTTCCACTCCGCCGAGTGCGAGCGAGGACGTGAGGCAGGCTTCGTCTCGAAGCATGATTTCCTGGATAGGTTGGAAAGAGTCTGGATGAGCGAAAGAAGCCGCTACAGGCCTGTCGGATATCCGAAACCCAGCAGGATGGATTTGTGGAGACATCGTAGAGGCGAGCACGGCAGAAGCCGACTGTGACGAAAAGTGAGTTGGAAATCAGCAGGTTAAAGCGCGAAAACGTCACCGATGTGTCTACGAACTCCACGAAGGCAAAACCAAAGCTAGCCATCGTAACCTTGTCCTTGATAAGAATAATTCTCTTCATGCCTTGAGCTCCCTCTTTACCGAAACCTGATGAGTTCCTCATTGCCTGATGGATAGCTTGGGGGCCAGAAAGTGGATCGAGTCCTCTGAGTAAAAGGACAGGCGCCTGGGTATTCCCAATGTCCCGAGTACCGTCATTGGTGTTTCCCCTCGAACGGCCTTTTTCGTGCGGGGTAGCGCTTTGCGAATAATCTATTTTGACCCTCCGTCCATTATGCGGGAGACCGGTTTCAAGACTTTTGTAGAAAGCGGCGGTCGCAGTCGCACCATGCGAAGCTGGAGGCGGCACTTGAACAAAAGGGAACAACGGGTCCACAAAAGCACGAGCGTGCTCGGAGCTGCTGAATTGTGCAAAGCCAAAACCTTTTGAGGAACCTTGATAATCCAGACGCGGAGAGAGAATGTCAATGCATGCGGGACAGAATATACGAATGGGCAACTGCCTGTTGATCGTTCTCGGATAATTGTGACCGTTTCTACACTGCATCCATGAGAATTGAGGTATGATTGCAGCTAAATACACAAGCAAGTAAGTGGAAAAGACCAGATTAACGGAAAGGTATGCATACATCAGACTCTGTGAAGTCTGGATCAAGACCAAGGAATATGACATGGGGACTGGGTTCCGAAGGCTGCAATCGTTTCTTCGGGTGACCGCCGGGGCCACCGCCACGTCCTGGCTGGTCTTGTGTATGACTTGAACCTTGACGGGTATAGCTGGGATCATACTTGTGGTCTTCATATGCCTGCGAGCCGTCATAGCCTTGATAATTCTGTTGCAGGATGCTTAGTTTACAATACCAGAAAGAGAACAAACACTCACTCCGTCGTTGAATTTCCTACGTTTCCCTTGACCATAGAGATCATCCTCTCGGGGATGATAGTTCTGACGAGAATCGTTAGTATACCAAGAGGCCTCAGAGGTCGTCCCTCTATCCCATTCTCGATTGTTATAGTCCATTTTTATGAGATGGAAGTTGAGGAGCAAGAAAATGATTTGTACCCAAACAAGAACAAATTTTCTTCTCTCTCTTTCCACACTTTGAACATGTCCGGTGGACATCATGGTAGCTCCAATTTTCAATCTCTCGTTCTTTTTCACATTTGTCTCCACAGGTAGCTTGAAGACAGACCCGGCCGTTGAAAACTTCAACTTATGGGTGTGCCTTTTTTTGCCCACACAAATGCCCGAGTAATAACTCGTTTATGCGTCTAGCGCGAACAACATTATCTTCGTTTTCGATGGACTCCTGCTAATGTCAAAGCAGCTGTCCTCGGTATGGTTGTCTTTCCAACTGTTCTTTATACTGCTGTCAATTATACCACTGTAAGCCCGGCGTTATTGAAACTGAATAGATGCATTAATGACATAAATACAGTCACGATGGTCTTGGAACGCAAAGCTCAAAGGTCAGCCTTTGGCAGGAAAACCGGAATGAATGAAGCTGTATCTCTGTACATATGCATCAGAACCTTTTGCACAATTCTATCGCTACTTTACATCCCGCGCCCACGACGGTACTTAATAACGCATGTCCTGGGGCTCTCTGAGCATGATTTACCACTGCGATGTTCAGATGCTCCAATTCATCGTCCCTAAACTCTTTCACTACTTCCCTCAACAACGGAACACTCGGATGAGTGGACGGCAGTGACTCCATTTCTTTGAGTTGGCTAAGACAACGTGTTAGTAGAACGACCGAGACTAGCGTGCTCTGCTCACTCATCATAATGTTCTCCAATGACCGTTTCTACTGCTTCTGTGCAAGCCATCGCAGCTTCTTTGCCCATAAGAGCTGTTACAGCACCTAGTCCAAAGCCACCAATCTTTGCGACCTCTATGAGAATTGTCGGACGGACGCGATGTTGTAGTTGCATCTTGTCCATCACCGCAAGATGCTTCTTCTCTTGATCCCACATTTCCTTGCGACAAAGTTGAGATAACATTGATCTTTACGGAATAGATGTACGAACTTGAATTAGAGGTCCTGTAACAGGCAGTTTTCCAAGAATGAAATGCTGGCCACGATATATCCAGTTAGCAGCAACCTCTCCTGCTTGATCTACACGAAGGGCCGAATCCAACGCAGCCCGCTGTTCGTTTGTAAGATTGAGCGGAGTTGTGGATATTTCATGAGCATTTGGCAATGAAGGCTCCGTATAAGCGGAGGAAGCAAGAAAACGACGGTTTATACATCGCGACAAACATCGAGTAGCTGTGGAAGAAGAGAACATTGTAGTAACGCGCGATTGATGCGCCAATCACAAGTTTGTTTATTATTTTGCTTTCTGTCTTTGCCTTGACTACGCTCTTTCAGCACCTCCCACAATGTCTTCCACGTCCGTCTTTTCATTTTATCTATTCTTCTCTTTCATCAATTCCTCCTTTTCAAAGATTTACGCGTTCCGAAGTTATCGACATGTCCAAGGAGAAAGAATGGGCAGCTGCGCTTGGTATGCTTAATCAACATCACATTCTGTTGAACGATTGTTCACCATTTCTAGGCATGCTTGACTGGGATACTACAAGCATCGTATTCACGAAGCGGTCTCTGATCGAGTTTCTCAAGTACGAGCCTTCGTGCTTCAACGCGTCTTCCAAATACAAATGATTTCACTAGATATACTGGAACCACAGTAGACACTAACTTTGGAAACATCCAAAAACTCCCCAGTGCGTCCATGACATTGTGCCACTTGCTTAGAGTGCTGATGGATCATGTTGTAGAATGGGCAAAATTCGGCAAAATATCCTCTGAGATGGAAGCTTCTGAATCCACCACATCTATCACTTGTGCGCCCCCATGCAACCTGAAAGAACTTGTCTCTTTTGAACTTGTTTACAGCATCGACGAGCTCCGCGACTGCCTCTGAAGGGTTCAAACCATCTCGTCGCGTGCGGCAGACACCTGGCGGTGGACACACTGACATTTTTGGTAGCAACGACGAAGGTGATGCTTTGTCTCAAGCTCCCCCAAAAGAGACTGAGGTACATCTTTGATGTTTTTCTGTTTCTTTCTCATTCCTCAATCATTGCACAGGCTGAACTTGCCGCCAATCCGTCCTCAGCTCAAGATGAATCGCAAGTTGACGAGGAACATCTCGGCATTAATTTCACCTCCCATGTGAAACCTAGCAGGTGTGTACAATGATCGTCTGCCTCTTTCACTGCTGACTTGTACTAGACGTGTTAGGGCCGTTCCTGGTGGGAGTAGTTCACTTTCGAATTTCTGGGATTCGAATGAGCAGCAACAAGAGGAATTCAAACCAACTCGACGGTTAGTACATCAGATATTCATGAACGACCTCGCCTTCACTTCCCTCTATCTTGTAGAGTTCGTCAAGGTCCAGGTGGTCAAGATAACATTTCAGGTGTACGTCGTTATACTCCTCGAATGTGTTGAATGCTCACCTTGTTTCTTCAGCTCTTTTGATGGAACGAAAATAGGTATTAGTGATGCATGTACTTTAGTAGTTTTAAGTATATATATACCAAAACAAAAAAACTCAAGTAGTAATGGTAGCGGCGAGGTTCGAACTCGCGCGGAGTTTCCTCCATTGGGAAGCTGAATAATTCTTTCTGCTTAAATCCAACGCCTTAGACCACTCGGCCACGCTACCATAATGCTTGGTGCGCAATGTTCTACTAGAACTATTTTGTGATTTCACCAAGTCAACATCAATTAACTTCTCCCATACACTCATGGCGACTGCCAGAATCACGACAAACTTATTTTCCTTCACTCGTCATCTTTCAACTTTTCGCTCAGCGCTTCACATTTCAAAAGAGATGTTGGCTACCACAATGACCGTAACTTTCTTGGGCACCTCGAGTGGTGGAGGTCCCAGTACATCCCGCAACTGTTCATCGCTCGTTGCTGACGTTTTAGGTGACGGTTCCCTTTGGAGTACGCGGTTTTGAATTCTTTAGCAGTTTGTCCTGAATGACTTCAATGCTCCAGTGGTTGATTGTGCGGAAGGAACTCTCCGTCAGTTTCACTCACAGCCATACAGCCCGGATCGGTCCAATCTTCGATTGCCACAAGTTAAGAAAATATTCATAACGCACATGCATGGTGAACTTTGTTCAATGATTCTTACTTATCCATCATACATCTTACTCTTTCTCAGCCGATCATGTTATGGGGTAGGGAACAGTTAGATCATGAACAACTATTATATCCGTATTCACTACCCAGGTAGGATAGTGCCCATTCTCCGGAATTTGCTTTTTCCAGTCCCTGTAGGCCAAGATGCCGCCAAGTTTTCGGCCCTTCAAAATCCTGTAAGCTTTTGACATTCAGGTCTCTATTCCCATATCAATCGAGTGGACAGCATCCAACCATAGAGATTTACGGGCCAGCTGGAATTCGGACTTTTATTCGAAGTATACTCAAAATGACATTGAGCAGAATGTCCGACAAATATGTTGTGCACGAGCTTTTATTGCCTACAGATTCAGAGACATCTTGCGAGCCAGAGGCTATTCACACAAACGAGGTTGCCGGCGAAAATATCTTGTGTTCTGCCGAAGGATTCTGGAGAGGTGTGACTCAAGGAAAAGGTAGCTTTGGGCCAGTCGTGGTGGATGCAGGGCCCATTACACACCGAGGTTTAGTGTACTCCTGTGATCGTTGATGTTTTCTCCTCACATCCAACAATTTTAGATCCATGCATTGGGTATGTATTTAGGGAAGCGGTTGAACCTTTTCGCAAAATAGTTATACTCGGGGATACTTGTGATCCTTCTGCCATGACACCTTTGTGCATAGATCCATCTCCGTCGCTTCTTATTCACGAGGCTGCAGACGCATATATTCCTCAAGAGATCGACCCAAAAGCTAAAAGATCTTTTGACGTGGTCAAGGAAAAGGCACTTGCTAGGGGACATTCGCTACCCGAAATGGCCGGGGGATTTGCGAAAACTATCGGCGCTCAAAAGCTTGTTCTAAACCATATCGGAGGAAGGCAAGGCGTTGAGATCATAGGGCATACCCGAAGACCTGAATAATTTTACAGATTTCCTGCACCGAATCCCAGCGAAGGTTACCGACTAAAAAGCATTAGGTCCAACGTCATAGCAGAGATCGAACGACAAGCGAGCGAAGTATGGGGAATGGGCATGGCGCGTGCTGCTTGGGACTTCATGCGTGTTGCTGTTCCCATTCCTGGTTCAAACGAGCCTCATACAGCAATTCATGATCAACTTATAGCTCACGACCGAACCATTCCACCTTCAGCCTCGAGTTCACCGAAAGGCTACCCCACTGCACATAATACCTGGGAAACCAAGAAATCAGAACTAATTCCGGATTCCCCATCCTATGCGAGTCGCACTCAGCATCGAGGTAGGGAGGGCTGGTCCACACGGGCCTCCCGAAACGATAGCTTTCGGCACAATCAATCACAACAGCATGGAGACTCTAATAATGTGGATCCCTTGCAGAACCGTAACCATGGCACTCAAAGGAGGTAGAAACATCATCTATTCCGACTCAGACACTGTCATACAGCTGCTGACAGTGGACCTATACAAAAGATAGAACAATTGATTTTATATATCCCTCTGTTCAGTATGTGCAATAACTAGGCGTTTGAATAACTAGATACATATTAAAATCGATCCAGTACAGGTATTTAAAGATCATTGTAAAAACCATAAATCGTACGTGCCAACGCTTTTTAGAAGATCAACTGTCTCAGGAAAAAAAGGTTCATGATAGATCATCAGATTCTCTGTACGCGTACTTTGATCTGCTGCGAATCGCTTTGCCGTATTTCTAGATGGAAGTCAATCTATCAATCGCCAACGAGTCGAAAGAGAACTCACCCAGAACAGGAATGGTATGGGAGTGCAAGCTAAGCCTAAGAATGCGAAGATGCTCATTCCCCAAGCGTCCCCTAAGCTGTCAAACATTGTAGGCGCAATGACTGGGAAAACAGCTGCGAAGATAGAGCGCAAAACAATCGTTGCAGCGATAGCACTCGCGAAATAGATTTCATATGCGTCCATCAGATAAGCAGTCGAACTCTGGAGGATTTGACAGACACCCTGACCGAAAGGGAAACCAGCTATGATAGGAACGATCCAATGCACGGGTGGATCCGCGGTCCTAGAGAACTCTTGAGGGATGGAATCCGAGGGCAGAACATTGAGCATTTGGAACATACCATGCGAACCAAAAAAGACCTATAGGTACAAGAATACCTTCGAAAGAGATCCTTCGTTTCAAAATCTTAGTCCAGGAAATGATGCGACTTACCTCCCATCATAGCCGTATGCAGTCGACTAAAGCCCTCTATTAGTTGATATACTGCCCGCAAGCTAGTGACATACTTACGCTTCAGGTGCTGCGCGTCCATTAACACTCTTATCCATCGCCCTTCGATAGATAGTATTTTGAATAGAAGCGGTGGCCGTCCCCACTGATATTCCTGCGCCAACTCCGAGGAAAGCAAGACCTCCTACACCCGCAGACCATCCTCTCCGAGTTTCAAACACGATAGGAAAAGCCGAGAACAAAGCATATAGTGTCCCGTACACGACAGAAATATAAATTGCGAATAGTAAAACAATAGGTTCGGTGACCATAAAGACTACGGTCAGATCGTCAGCCATACAAATATTGTATCGGATTGCATCACTTACCAAATGGTCTGCTCAGATTAACACTTATGATTTTTATAAAAGACGTTGAACGTCCTATGTCATATTTAGACATGTAAGAGATCGTTCCATTCGATAGTTGTTTGAGGTGTTTAGCACGCCGTCGCAGAAGGACAGGCGCATACTATGATGCAAATTATATCGTGAGGAGTCGACCACTCCTGTTGATTAGATTTACCGTTTCTGGTGCCAGAAAATATCCCATTATCAGGCTCAGTGCGCCCAAAAGCAACATCAACCAGAAATTGAAGTGCCACCCCAGGCTGGAATCTGCTACAAAGCCCCCGACAATTGGACCAATCACTGTATGCATTAATTGGAATTACTAAGTGAAGCAATTGGAAAGGTAAGCAGCGGACCTGGGCCGAGGAATGGTACTGCCGCATAGATTGCAGACGCAAGGCCTCTCTCACGAGGATTGAATATGTCAGCTACTGCTCCTCCAGCATTGGTCAAAGCTGCGCCCGCGCAGGTCAATTCAGCTAAGTATGTTGCATGCAGGAGTCCAAAGACAAGACTCACGAGAAGCACCAAAGATGCCAGTGAGTAATCTCACGATAAGTACAGTGATAATATTCTTAGCAAAAGCTCCCCCGATGTGAAGCGGGGTGTATAGCCCGACAGTGATTAGGAATATGATTCGCTACGAAAGAATTTAACGTCAGCTTTTGCAATACTGAGCAACGCTTACCCGACCATACATCTGCGTACGACCAAAAAAATGTCAATTGATCACACACGCTTTAACACCGACAGTGTACAAACCTCTCCCATTGGTGCGAATAAAAGCGGGCTGCAACATCGAAGTTAACGCATGATCTATTCAAAATGTCTTTCAGACCACATACCCAACAGCAAATCCCAAAACGTATAAGGAAATACCCAAGACCGCCAACTCGTCGGATACATTCAAGTCGCGAGTGATGTCTTCCAAGCCGCCACTGTATGAACTGCTGCTGAAAGATACCGTGAATGTGGTCAATGCCAGCTGGTCACGATAAACGTGTGAATCTCATGAGAACTATCAAGAATATATTCAACAGCGACATGCCTGCGTAGTGATGATCCACTTGCGCGTCTTTGTCCAGTTGTATGGGTTTTCAGGGTCTTCCTCGTCCCAAACAACAATGTAAGGGTCTTCGCGTGTACCAGAACCTGCGTATCTGGCGTGACCACTGTTGCCACTGTCCGTCTCTGTCTTCTCTTCAACAGGATAATTTTTGCCACTGTGGGAGTCGGAGTTTCGGTCGTGAACAGCACTATTCGTGCAATCGCCATAGGAGCCTGAAGGACGACCAGGAGAGGTCATGGTGCAGAAAATACACGCAGTTTGAAGAAGGGAGGGGCACCGGTGAATATCGCAAAGAAGACATGCATATGCGTATTATATAGCCTTGAGAGAAAAGAAGCATACTGATGATATCTCTAATGAAAGTCACACAGTACTTGTGGTCCCTTTCCTGTTCATAATCTTGGAGAGACCACTCGGCAATGGAATCCGAGAGAAGAGTGCGTGTAACAGAAGCCGTTTCAGTAGAAGTGGCGACGAAAAGAACGAAGCCATCACTCGAAGAATTGTTCACTACGGGTTTTCCAATTTCCCAAAATCATCGTCTCTGTATTGTCGAGCAGTGCAGCGCTCCATCCCGTCGTACACGGCATTAGCAGAACGACGACTAGCAGTCGATCTATCGAAAGTAAACTTTCTTGAAGGATGAACAACGAGGGCAAGCACCAAATATAGGCGAACCATCAATTACAAAAGTTCCCAAAGTTTGCAAGCTGGTTTTGCCGGCTCCTTTGTCCGAACCATGGTTCCGTGGCCAGGAAAGAAACAAACTTCTCGCTAATTTCACTCTCAAATACCGTAAGATAAAAGTTTCCATCGATATCAACATACACCAACGTATGTATCTGTTCGATCGAGCACGGAGCTGCTATAAGATGGTTGGAT